GGTGAAACCTCGTTTGGATGGGTTTCGTGCGTTAGGACCAAATCTTTTCAGTTTGCCTCTTACGTCACGTGACTACTGCTCAGAAATAAACTCAATCGTCAATCATTCGGGAAGGTAGGTTTTTGAATCCTTCATTTCTCACGTTGATCGGTTCTAGCGTGTCCTAAAAGTTGCCTGAATAAAATCCCTGCTTCTGTTAGCACGACCGAGGCGGTCGCCGATCTGGTTAGACTGCGACGCAAGCACATTTTGATTTGGCTTGTATTCCCAGTCAAGAACTTCTTGAACGATAATGACGAAAAAATGCCAGAAAACGTGAGAGAGACCGAAGTGGTCATTTGCAGAACCATCTTCGGCCGCGTTCTCGCACCACTGTGGTTTGAAGTTGCACACAGGCCGGAGGCAACCATCAGGCGTCAAGAAATGAAACCGAAGGACCGCTGCCACAGCATGAGACGTCTGGAGGCGTTTATTGGACCTAGTGCAGTTGCGGACAAAGCAACTACGTCGGAGAAACCGGAAGACTGTTCCGGACGCGAATGGCTGAGCACGCTGCAGCGGCGCGGAGAAATGACGCTAGCTCTCAAGTTGCGTCTCATTCGACGAGATCCGACCAAACATTCAAATTCGATGAGACCGAAATTATCGCTAGAGGTCACAACTGCGTGAACCGTGAGCTGCTTGAGTCATGGTTTACTGGCCTCCAGTCCATTAACAAGTGCAATGATCTTCCCCTTCCATAGTTGGTGCTGAGACTTCGCCTAGGCGAGGAAATTAGCCACGCAGGGAGCGCAGAGGTGAACACTTTTCCCAACGCCAGGGTCGGTGTGTCAGATGGTCGGGCATTCATCACAACAAAATCCAACGTTCGTGATGAAATTGCAGCAATTAACAACACAAAAGTCGGCCATCAAACAGTCAGCACATTAAGTTCAACGATCCCTGATGAAGGGGGTAGCCGTGAATGTTCATAGGTATGCGGTAGCATGACGACTGCGTCCTATAAATGCTGCAGCCCCGTATCTTCTGTTGTCTCTGATGATGGGTTCGAGCAGGAATCAGAAACGTCAGGCAAATAAAGCTTTTTTCCCAGCGATCGTGACTCCTTCTTCAACATTTGCAGAACTTTTGGCCGTAGCCAGCCGGCCATACCCACAGCACAGGCTTGGATAATTAATGACTTGACCCCGGATGCCTGGGTTATTAAGGATTAACCAAACACTCTACCATTGATTCACACGTCGGCGCTGGCCCCCCCAGTCAGCATCGCCTGTGTCGGCACGCTCAAAGCGTTCGTCGTTGACCTTTTGACCCTGTTTGCTCTTGCAGATGCCGTCGCCGACGTAACATGGCTCATGAACTAGTAATATGATTGGATGATGTCTTTGGGTAGTTGGACTTGACCACTTGGATTGATTACGGCTTCAAACTTCCGGATTCCTTCTGCGGGTACGTTGACTCACAAACCTGTTTTGCATTCTTTTAAAGTACAGTGACCACTGCAATTATCACTTCTATAAACTTGGTTATTTGTCTGTTCTGCGACGTAAGGTTAAATCTACTTCTATCGGACTGGTCGCACGGGATTTTCTTAACACCGCTGGTCTCCCTATAGACGACAGTTCGGCTTGCCATTCCCACAGTACATGGGAATGGCAAATACGTTACTAACAAATGGCTTCATGGTACGACCTAGAATGGGCCACATTTCAGCCCTCGTCTTGTGGTAAAGAGGCAAACCATCTATAGCTAAGTTCAAAACTATCTCTTCATGGTCTGCCACTACGTATTCACTATCAGCTAACCTGCGTAGTTGCTTCTGCAGCCCAACATGAACGTACTCCCCACAACCCATGGGGACTACTTGCAAGTTATACGATCTGAAAGGCTTCTTTGGCATCGACTCGGTGATTCGTATTGACAAGATGTGCGAGAATAGAACCCGAGATCGACTTCTTCTCACCTTTGCCTAGCCAGGCCGGTATGTGTTCACGTACTCTCTTTTCCAAGCGCCTCGTTGTACGGCCACAGGAGCAAGTGAATGAATAAATACACATCGATGTGGCCTGCAACGGGAGTCGGTCTTTACCTCCCAAGCGTAGGATGGGAAAGAGAGGAGGGAGTGAAACACACACGTAAGTTCGCCGCGGGGAAAGCGTTAGTGATCGCTGTCTTCAGACGTCTTCTTACTAGTTCACTTGCTGCGCCCCTTTGAAAGAGTAATCATTAACGGTTACTTACTAATCACAAGTAGTATAAACAAGTTTAAGGGGTGCCGGTTATGTGAGTCGATGTAAGGCTGGTAACTGGGAGGCTTGATGCGCGTCAAGTCTACACTTAAAGGAATTCACACAAGAGGAGGTTGCAACATCGGTGGGTAGGGCATTCCACGCTGCAACCACTCTGTGACTGAAAAAGAACTTTCTTCCATTGATCCTTGCTTTCCCGGTGAGTAGTTTTAGGGGATGACAGCGCAAATTGGGCGGGTTAGCTTGTGTGAAATAATCAGTGGGATCTAAACAACAGTCTACGCCGTTGATAATGCCAAATGCAAGTATAAGGTCACCACGTAATTGCCTGTAGGAAAGTGGAAACAGGTTGAGAGTTGACATTCTGGTTTCATATGGCAGTGCTCCCAGACCTTGTGTCATTTTGGTCGCCCGTCTCATGACCTTCTCCAAAACGGTACAGTCCTTGGCAGTCCAAGGTCTCCACGCCTGTATGGCGTATTCTAGATGAGGCCTCACGTAGGTGCCAAATATTTTTGAAAAGCTGTCTGGATAAAATCCCATAAATGCTCGCTTAATGATTTGCAGTGTAGCCGTAGCCGATTTAGCCGCCTTCGCGCAGTGCAGTGCAGTGTAGGTTTGAGTGAAGATGTAATCCATACACCCAAGTCCTTCTGACTGTCAACCTGTTGCAGTGGTGTGCCCTCTAGAAAGTAAGTCCTGGGGCTGGAGGCTCTGAAGCTGCCTAGTTGAAGAAAGTTGCACTTGCTTATATTGAAGGGCATAAGCCAGCGCTTCGACCAGTCTTCGAGCCTGTTCAGGTTTCCTTGCAGGTGGTCTGCGTCTGCCGCATTGTGAATAACTTTCCACAAGGTTATGTCGTCGGCAAACATGATAGCATCACAGTCTAGGTCCTTGACGCAGTCATTTATGAAAACGGGGAGTAACGTGGGACCTAAGGCTGAACCCTGTGGGACACCAATCACCGTGCCTACCTCTGAGGACTGTTGACGCCCGACCTGCACTCTTCGGGACCGTCCAGTCAACAAGCTGTAGATCCATACAAGAAGGCGCCCACGAATTCCAGCGTTGCACAGTTTGTGCAAGAGACGTTGGTGAGGAACGCTATCGAAAGCCTTTTTGAAGTCGATGTAGATGGCGTGCACCACATTGCCTACATCGCGTGCATTGGTCCAGCGTTCGAGCGTAAAGAGTAGATTCGTGAGACAGGACCGACCACTTCGAAATCCATGTTGGGCATCGGAAAGGAGGTAATGCTGCTTGAGGAACTGCATCAAGGCCTTTTTAATGATCTTCCCCATGATTTTGCAGCAGATGGAGGTAAGACTCACTAACCTGTAGTTATTCGCAGACGTACGACTTCCACCTTTAAAAAGCGGAGCGATTGTAGCGGACTGCCAATCAGAGGGCAGGGACCCACTAACAAAAGATGTTTGGAAGAGCAAGGCTAACTGCTTGGACATTTCGGGAGTTAGCCTCTTCAGCAGCTTAGCCGGGACTGCATCAGGGCCTGGGGAGGTCGATTGTTTCACGTTTAGCAACTCTTTCCGAACGATTGTTTCGGTGAAGAAGACGGTTTCGAGGGTAGGCGTTTCTTCGTCTTCACAAGCGGGTGAGAAAAAAATCAGGTTCACTCGTCACGACTGACCGGAAGAACTGAGAGAGACGCTCAGCCCTATCCTTTTCATCGGAGATTTCCATTCCCTCGGCCGTTCGAAGATCCTTTTTATCTGTTCGAAATCACCGGGCCAAATATTGGGTCGGGAATAGAGCAGTTGTGCAGGCAGGGAGAATATGGTGTATTTCCACATGAGAACTACATGGTCACTCTGACCCAACGGGGGAGGCAATTCACGACGTTGATGTTGTCAGAGGACTTGGTGAACACAAGATCGAGGCAAATCATTTGTTGGCCCTCTCAAACTATCGTTGGCGACATTACGTGCTGGGTTAGAAGCAGATTGTCGGAGGTACGCATTAACTGCTGGTCGAATGCTGCTTCAGAGCAGTCGCCGAGCTCCAGTTTATGTGAGGTGCATTAAAATCTCCAACGATGAGAGTAGTCGGTCGCGTTGAAAATAATCTGAGCTTCTCCAGCAGTTGGGCATCAGCCTCAGGGTCATTTCTCGGGGGATGATATACTGTCAAGATATCGAGGCTTTGAGAGCCCGATGCCCTTAAGGTTAGCTATATTGCTTCTGTACAAAAAGTCAATTGAGCAGTTTTTTCTAAAACGTACAAGCCATTCTTAACAAATGTTACTATGTCTCCACCCCTTCTGTTTTCTCTGTCTCTGCGGAACAGTTGAGATCCAGGGAGCTCATGCTCCCTATCATCAACCTGTTCGGACAACCATGTTTCTGTTATTGGGATAACATCTGGGTGGAGGTCGTAGGTATGAATAGGGAGTTCATTCAGTTTTGAAAGTACACTTTACGCGTTAGTATACATAAATATGAGTTTCGAGTTCATGCGAGATTTGTTTACAACCCCGACGCGGGCTACTGGGGTATCTGTGCAGTCATTCGGATCGGCTTGATCCAGAGGGAGCAGAATGCCGTCTTACTATCCGGTATTTGTAGATTTTCAAGTTTTTTTCTCCGTTTTTTGCCGTGTTTTCAAGTCTAGGACAAGTTCGCGGCGTTTCGTTCTCTCGGCAGGTGAGTAGTCCGGCTGAAAAAAACACTCCTTTTTGGGAATGCTTCAGTCGAAAACGCCTGGAAAGAATTAGTTTCGCCTGCTCATTGCCACCTAGGATGATTTTAGGGGTCGTCGTCGCGTCTGTGGAGCGGCGTTTGTACGGCTACCAAGACGAAACGCTTTTAGGACTGTGATATCTTCCGTTGGTTGCAACATTTCATTTAGGATTTTCTGGAATTGCTCTAAGTCAGCAGCGACTCGTTCCCTGAGGGTACTGGCGGAGGACTCTGAGAGGCCCTGAATTATGATGCTGTGGTCCTTTTTAAGCATTCCTCTGTTTTCTGCGGTTTGGGCGTTGTTGGCTGGTACTTTAGCCTCGTTTAAGTGGACTGGCGAAAAGGAGGGGGCAGCCATATAGGTACTTTTGTCCCCGTAAAGTTCGTCCGCGGATCCTGTTGGGGCACCGTGAAGCGTTACGCACTGTGGTTGATCTGAGTAGAACTTGACCCCCATGAAGTGGAGACTTCCTCAGTTCAGTTCTCAACCATGTTGGCATGGGAATTCGCAGGGGCAGCTAATTCCACCCTGGGTCCACAGCCATATGTCTTTGCGCCAATTTATTATCCCTCTAATTTAGGCTCCGGTAGTGAGCACATAGTCTGAGGATTATTCAGTTTGAGCGTCATCTGCCTCATCCCTTCCAGCCCTTTCATTTTTTGCGTGCAACTGCTTTTCGGGTAAGACTGATATACTGTATTTCGTATTCTGGCGACTTTTCCCGTGGTGTTAAGTGCCCTCTTCATCTTATTCTTTTTTTCCCCGGAAGCCGCTACTTACGGTCGGTTCCGATGCCTCTAAAGTGGCCTCTAGATGACTATCACTTGACTGCGTCCGTGTAAATTCATCTAGTTTAGTGTACGGAGCCAGTTGAGGGAAACAGGCTTATTTGTCAGAAGAACAAGTCTCTGTGTAGGTGTAGGAACTGGAGGATAAGAGACTATCCCACGAGGATGACGCTGAGTCAGACGGATATCTTTTCCTCATAGTCTCTGCAATTGTGTGAAAACGTGCGCGAAGACCACGCTGAACACGTCTTCTGAGGGTTCGCTTCGATATTTTCGTCTACATTCTACGATAAAACAAGAAAACAGTGTTATGGAGACACAGAATATGTGCAGGGCCAATTGACAACGTGAGAGCAGTAACCACAGGCGCCTAGCAGCGTGGGCAAGCAGGAAATGGCGTGACAGAGCGCTCGCGCGAAAGCCAGCGCGTCGTCCGATCGATTTGCCAATAATCAAGCGCGCAGTCATCTGCGGCGTTAGCGACGCCAGGCCCCTGGGCCGCGAGAGCCAATTAAATAGCAGCAATGAGCGAATGTCGACAGTCTAACTTAGAGTCGGCTTTCATTGCTATAAGGGTGCGAATAGAAGGTGTCTTATTCACCACTTGATTGCTTTCTGGGGATTCCTTACAGGGATGGCTCTTGCTCTACTCCGAGTTAACCCCTGCGTAGATAACACCGAGCGGTCCTCTGCAGAAAGAGTCTTCAGATTCCTAACTTCTTCCTTTAGTTGATGCATCTTGTAGGCTGTCGTTTGACAACCATTACATGCATATCCTACGTGATTCTGTGGTGACTAATTAACAATGCTTTTAGCTGCGCAGCTCAGTCGTGCGTCGGTAGTGTAGGCGTTAGCGGAGCGGACTCCAACTTTTGAGGTCCCCGGTTCAAACCCCGAGTGCGTGTTACTTTGGAACTAGTGCGGACTCCAACATTCAGGACAACTTTTCTATATCCACAAGAATAAACTTCACCGAAAAGATCGTAGGCTTACGTATGAAGGAAGGCTTTTATGATGATCTTTCGGTAGAAAGTAACTTCATCAGCTGAATAGAAAGGTATAGTCGAGAAGCTTCGGAGCTTCTCGGTCGATCGGAGAAAAACTGTTCTAAATTCCTGGGAATTTAGACAAATACGTTGAGACGATGACGAAACAATGTCTAATTGTAGAAAAGCCACTCGGCCTTTGTAGGAGCTGTGGATGTACTTTTCTTCAGATAATGCGTCTTTCTGGGTTGTATGCAGTAGAAACGAGGAAGGCCAAAACAGGCCAATTCTGTGAATGTGCTGCAGGAGACTATTTGGGAGGAAGATATTGACGAGTCGAATTCAATTCTTAATTCCGGCAGGCTCTAAGAGTCTACAGTAAATCGAAATCTCGAAGTAACTAAATTCCTCTGGGGAAGAAAATTTGAAACCAAATTCGAAACACTTTGAGAAGTTGAACTTGACCACTTTGAGTGCTTACATGTTTGAAGCTGCAGCTTCAAACTTCCGGATTCCTTCTGCGCGGGTATGTCGACTCACAAACCTGTTTCGCATTCTTTTAAAACTACAGCGACCACTGCAATTATCACTTCTAGAAATTTGGTAATTTGTCTGTTCTGCGACGTAAGGTTGAATCTTCTTCTATCGGACTAGTCGCAGGGGATTTTCTCAACACCCCTGGTATCCCTATAGACGACAGTTCGGCCATAGTGACCGACGATGCACACAGCTGTGTGCTCCACAGCAGGGTAGTAGCAGAGACGGTGGCGTGCACGTGAGATAGTTTAAAGTGATAACAGACGTGCGCTGAATCCACCAAAATCTCTCCACCAAACACATCTGGGTTTGGTGTCAAGAGAGGGCCAAGAAGATCAGAGACGGTGTAGCGGCCGAGGACGTCAAGGGTAGCACACACCGGAGTAAGGAAACGCCGAGAAGAGCTCTTGACCGGGGTAGACCTGAACGCAGCTGTTAGCATTCCTTGATACACATCCATACACAGAAGAAGAAGGCATGTCGAATAAGAGATAAAGTGTAATAAAACGAGGTTGCACGGGGAAACGCATAATAATCGTTAATAGTACAGGTAGGACGGTTACATCTGTAGATTGACATGTCTGGGTGGAGAGACGATGCCAACATGCCAGCTAGTAAACCGGTGGGGAGCGCAGCGTTGGGGGCAACTACAGGGAAGGGCCGAGGGACTGCCGATGTAGCGAGGAGGCGAGCGGTTCGGACGATACGTTACGTTACGACGAGGGTGAAAGGGATCGGCAGAAGAGAGGGTGAGGGACACCGGTTATCTTCACCGACACGCGACTACGCCATCTCCACCCTAGGTCATCGCGCGGAAAAGTGTCACCTCATTCGAACAACTCTGCCCAAGTCCAGGGGCGTTACAACGGCAGAATTCGCAGGTGGCTGGCACGGCGAAAACCCGCACATTGGCGTACCACTCATCCCCTGGTCGACAGCGTACACTGACCATCATTTTACACCAAGAAATCCAAACACTGTCCTCTGTTTCAGTGGTCAAGAACCTCTGTAATAAATTCCACCGGCATACATGCATAACAAGTCATACCTAGAACCAAATTACACAGGGGCGTTTCGAAGAACGGCCTCTTTCCCTGTTGTCGACCATAGAAGGTGACGAAGGAGGTGATTTCTTCGGAGAACAGCTCTGCGAAAACTCGGTCAACGAAGGACACGACAGTGTCCCCGCCAAGAGAGCACAAGTACGTCGCCTAGCAAAGTAATGAACACCGTCGTTACGTAACATACCAGTTGTTGACGATACGTATTGTCGCCGAGAGCATTGACGAGGGCGTCCAGCTGCTCTGGAGTGTCCACCTGCCTCAAGTTGAATCCGGAGGACCTAGATGGGCAGATAGATATGCTCCTAAAGCCCTTGAGCAGATTCATCATCGCTGCGTGTTGTTGACGCAACGCAGAGACCTGATGTATAAGCATTGATAGTGATTGCATCATCCGTAACCGCTGCCTCCCTTCACCATCCACGTATCATAAGCTCAGGGACTGATGGGTTGAAGGATACGTGAAAAGCGACCGATGAATGGTTGGAGCAACAGTGCAACTGACCTTTTTGCCTAGTATATGAGTGAAAAATACCGTCCAGCGGGCGCCATCATCTTTTCGTCGATTGTGCTTGGCCAACCAGGCACTGCTGATAGTCGGCGTCCCAACGTCCGTGGATTTCCATAAGGAAGTACTCGTCGTCGATTGGAAAACAGGCATACTTGCGCACCGATATTGGCAGTGGACAGGTTTTGAGTACAGTTCCTAAAGTAGCCTTAAAAATCTTTAATTGCGATGAATTAGTAGGATAAAATAGACAATCTTCTATGTTATCGTACTCAACATACACTACTGCTACGTTGCCAGATGCATAACTGGTGGTGTTTTGGATTTAAATTAACTTTCCGTCGACTACGACTGATCCTTCACTAAGTGACGTCCCAATTAGTAGGTTATTTATATAAATACACTTAAACTGACTAAGCACCCACCCGTTTCCGGCAATGGACCATTAGAATGTTCATAATTAAAAGTCCACTGCAACTGACTGCTTTCTGCCTGACACTCACCATGTATTTCGGCTAGCCGGCGTACTACTTGCTGCAGTAGCTGTGACGGTTTTCTAAGCATCCGCTTCAGTTTGCCCTGGAAAATTTCAAATGGAAACGACGAGAAACTATCCAACTGACCATGCCGCAGGACATCGTCTGGTAGGCGGACAATGCTGTGAACATAGTACACCAATTCGGCCTAACCATACAGCGTACTGCTGCGAAAAGTAATAAAAAAAATGCTTCCGACATTTACGAGGAAGAATGTCCCGCATGACCACTATGCCTGTGTAAAGCAGAAACTGACGCAATTCCGTTCCCTTCCATGTGCCTACATCATTAAGAGACCTGGCACGCTGCAAAAATTGCCGTGGCAGGTACGCATTCAGCAATTTCAGCCTTTCATTAAGCGTATTTACTGCAGCCCTTGACAACCTAAAGGGATTCTCCCTTGGGCTTCGAAGCCACAAGTTCAACAGCCTCCTCATTACACCTAGGTAAACTAAATGAAGGGGATCTAAGGGAAATGAACTTATCATTCCGAGATTGCAAGCTAGCAAAGGTGAAATACCAGCTCGATGACTGCCGTCAGCAGGAGACAAGAACTCCTCATCCGTCCTAGCAGGCTCAGAGACATTGTCATAGACTACTTTGTCAAGGTATTCTCCCTTTTACATAGCCCCGTTCACAACCGTAGTATGCATCACAGATAACGGCTGCCAGGCGGAACTGCAGAGTTCTGTCGATGACATCGACACGCAGACCAGGATTTGCAAGGGTTCCTAACTCTTCTACTGGCGGGCTGCAAAATGACTGAACATCGGGCGGCTTTCCCTGTCCACAATAAATTCCAACTGCAAGAATATGGCTAACAAAGGGCTGGATAATTCTGCCTAAAATTGGCCAAAATTCTCTTTTGGTCTTCTTATGAATAGGAGGATCGTCGATGGCTAAGTACGCTACTATCTCATCACCTGTCAACTGCATGGAAAAGGCACGTAACTGCTCAGTCAACTGCTTTACAAGTCCTAAGTGAACGTACTCACCGCTGCCCAATGCCGTTACCGGTGGCAGGTCGCCTGCTCCGCCGAGAAGTGTTCGTGCGTCCGAGGGCATGTTTGACGCGTCGGCTGGTTTCATCTGCCTCAAAAGCTTCAGCATATTTGTCAGGTGCTGGTGGGGTATTCGGGAACGAACTGCCCAGGTTCGCAGCATGTCGCGTGTGGTTACGTCCACCTCAGTTGGGAAGGACATCGGACGCTCTTCAAAATAACCGTGCCACTGTTCAGTCGTCGAGGTCGATGTGTCCTCCGAAGAGGACGTTGAGGAGTCTATTGACTGAGTGTAGGTGTATAAACCTCTCGACGAAGATGATGACTTGGGCGGGTACTTCTCTCTCAATTTCTCGGCAATTTCATGTATACGATTTCTAAACTCTCTCGACACGCCTACGTTGAGTTCTCCGAGATACTGGTCTGAACGTAATAGAAAAGGAAACGTTAAAACTCAATAGTATGGGTTAACAGAAAAGGCAAAGCACAGGACAGCAATGCGCGCGCTGAGCGGCGTGGCAAGCCAAGAAGTGACACCCAGGCGCGAGCATGCGAAAAATCGATAGCATATCAGCGTACGCTTACTCGTGCGCGGGAGTGGGAAACTTGCTGCTACGACTGCGGTCAACCAATCAGAGGCCAGTTGCGGGCGGGACGCGAGCAGCGAGTCTCGCTTCGCAAATAATTGCTATTAGCGTCATCGCCCTCGTGAATTCCGAGAATCTGAAGGTAGAAGACATTAACTAGCTAAAAACTGGAAATCAGAAGCCCGAAACCTCGGAAATTCAACAACCGTGTCCTTTAAGCAACAGACAGAAAGTTAGTGAACTCAACTTTCGTTAAAGTCGATGTGATGCTGGAAAATAAATCAGAAATCTCCATTCCACCCTCTATGACTTTTCGGCACTGCATAAACTGCTCACTGACCACCACAACGCGAGAATTTTCAACGTATTTCCAATAATCTTGCACTATTCAGAAGACCAGTTGGCGAGTATAGTGTTGCTCTGCTAATTATTGACATTCAAGAAACGTCTCAGTACTGTCTACTCAGACATACAATTTACGATGGAGGAGGAAGAAGATAGCCAGCTGGCCTTCCTGGATGCCCTCGTATGCTGCAAATATTGTGGTGGCCTAAAGACCAAAGTGTTCAAGAAAGCGACACATACGACGCAAGTACTGAACTTAAACAGCAACCACCCAATCAGCCACAAACGCAGATGTGTAAGGACGCTCTATCGGCTTGTAGAAACGCACTGCAGTGAACCGGGAGACAAGATTGCCAAACTACAATACCCCCGACGGATCTTCAAAGCCAATGGATACCCGCGCTACTTCGTCAACTGGTGCATACGCAAAAGTGACGAAAGGTCGAACCGCACGGACACCAAATTTGGCGAGCGCTTCCGTATGTCAAGAACGTCTTGGAAGCTGTCGGCCGCCTCCTCGCACCACTTGGGGTTGGAGTTGCACACAGGCCAGGGGCAACCATCAGGCGTCAAGTAATGAAACCGAAAGACCCGCTGTCATGGTCAGAAACGTCCGGAGTCGTTTATCAGATCTGGTGCAGTAGCGGACAAAGCAACTACGCCGGAGAAGCCGGAAGACAGCTCCGAACGCAAATGGCCGAACACGCTGCAGCGGTGCGGAGAAATGACGTCAGCTCTCATTCGACGAGATCCGGTCACACATTCAAATTCGACGAGACCGACGTTCCCGATAGTGATGCCAACTGCATGAGCCGTGGGTTGCTTGAGTCATGGCTCACTGGCCTCCAGTCTATCAACAAGTGCAATGATCTTCCCCTTCCATATTCGGTGCTGAGACTTCGTCTAGGCGGAGTAATTAGCCACGCGGGGAACGCACAGGCGAATACTGTTCCAACGCCAGGGGCGGTGTGTCAGATTGTCGAGCAATAATCACGCCATCACCGGCGATGAAATTGCAGCAATTAACGATGCGGATGTCGGCCATCAAGCAGTCATCACACTAAGTTCAACGGTCACTGATGAAGGGGGAGCCGTGAATATTCATAGGTATGCAGTAGCATGGCGACTGCATCCTATAAATACTACAGCCCCGTATCTGTTGTCTCTGATGATGGGTTCGAGCAGGAATCCGAAACGTCAGGCGAGTAAAGCTGTTGTCCCAACGATCACGTCTCATTCTTCACAAATTGCCCACTGATTACCACAACGCGGGAGGTTTCAGGGTATTTTCAATAATCCCGCACAATTCAGAAAATCAGTTGCCGAGCATAGGTTTGCTTTCGATAAATTCTCACCAGACCAGTACATTTATATGGGAACGGGGTGCATATAGCGCAGCCTTGACGACATTGAATCCTAAATCACTGGAATCACAGGAAGCCATATCCTTTACCACTGAGTCCAATGTTGGTCCTTCTTCCGCGCAACTGCAATATCAATAGTATGCCATCACGATAGTCCGACTTAGTATTTGGGGCAAAATCTGAGACTCACACGAAGTGCCTTCACTGGGTCATGTAACGGGGGACGTTGGTCTCGTTTCCCATTAGGCTCAGTATGGAGCCCTAACAAGCAGTTGCATAGGAAACAGGATTATATGCTAAACGGAGCCCAGACAAAGACAAGGAAGACTGGGATGACCATTGCTGGTTTATTAGTCGTTGTCTGACGGTCTTACCCAAGCAGGTTTTTGCCCTACCTAAGACTGGAACAGGCGTTCATTGGTCATCGATCTGGCATTGTGTCACAGGCGCCCCGTCCCGTCGGTTGCAATCAGGAACGCACCTCCAACATGAGATGATATTACCAATCGTTACCGACAGGACAATGGGCACATTGCTCAATCAGTCAGTATATGTGGAGTAAACGATAGAAGCCCTGAAAACTCCATTTAGACGGTACATATGTAAGGGAAATTAGTTAAATTGCAAAACTTTTGCTTGCGGTTTTAGTAAGGAGAATTCATAAATCTAATAATGTGACATAAATGCGAAAGGGGTATGGTATTCGCGAAATAACTGCGAAAAACTTTGTTCACTGCATTCGGACTGAAAATTTCCGTATTAACTAATTTTGACGCACAAAAAGGTCTGTTGAAATCTTGTTAGTAGTATATTTATAGTCATTTCAGTAACCCCTTAGATCAGGCTTCGACAGTTCGTGTTGCTTTTCAGCAGGGGAGTTTCTAGTTGTCTCTTGAACACGCTCACGGTAGGGGAATTAACAACGTACTCCGGCAAAGAGTTCCATTGGCGAATGACCCTCTGCGAGAAAAAGGAGGAACGTTGATTTGTGTGGCACAGTTCCCTTTTAAGCTGGTAATCATCTCGTCTGAGATTAGACTTGCGTGCCATTTCAAAAAAGGTTCCCCAATCGACATCCAGATTAAGTCCTCATACCAACTGGAACGTTGCTATGGGATCACCTCTGTCCTGCCTTTAGTGGAGGGGATAGATGTTCAAGGCCGTTAGGCGTTCCCCGTACGTGAAATTGTCGAGGCCATGAACAGCCTTTGTAGCACGCCGTTGTACACCTTCAAGGATATTTATATCTTTCCGAAGCCACGGCCACCAAGCCGCACAAATGTCCCGTATACTTTGCCAAAGACATCTGTATTCAAGTGACTAAACGTTCTGCGTATCGCGCCCATGACTGACATTGCCCGCGCAGCGACTTTCAAACACTGCGTGGTGATGCTTAGATCGTCTTTAATGAATACACCGAGACCTTTTTGCACATCTACGGTTTTAAGTGGTTGATTGTCCGGGAGATACTGTCGTGAGGGTGCATTTGTTCTTCACCTCGCTGATACTCCGTGCATTACTACACATTTTTGATGTTGAATTTCATGCACCAATTCTCGCTCCATGCGTGCAAATTCTCTACGTCCTCTTGTAGTATCTTGACGTCATCTTCATCTTTTATCGCTCTCCAAAGTTTAAGATCGTCTGCCAAGAGCGCTATGTCCGATCTCACTTCCCGTACTAGGTCATTTACATAGAAATGAATAGGAGCGGCCCAAGAACTGACCCCTGTGGGATTCCACTTGTAACGGGTGCCCATTCTGAACAGTAGCCACACGATGTGACTTTTTGTAGTCTTGAATCCAGTTCAGAAGATTTCCTCTTATCCCTACTTCTGACGACTTTTGAATGAGGCGCTTATGTGGGACGCAATCGAACGCCCTGCTGAAGTCGAAGAGCTTTGGAGTTAATAAGGCTTAATGACTAGGTTCATGGCCCAGGTGTGGCGGAAGCCTGAATTTGGGTAGACGGGTAATAAGACAAGAGTAGCCATTCCTGTCTCGATCGTATTTTCAGGGACATTGTTAGCAGTTCGTAATGGCATTAGTCACATTCCACGTTAACTCTACAAGGACTGGCTGACGAAACTACATCTGTCCAATCGTTCTGCAGATTAATTCTTGCCTGCACATAATCTCATTAGCGAAAACAAATCAACAGATAATCACTTTTCGTGAGTAGCGGCGATCGCGGTGCAACTCCAGTTTGTTACTGAACGCGATAGAGACAACGCATTGCTTCTAGTTGGGTGCTTTCGAAACTTCTTATGCGATCGCCGCAACAAAAATCGGCCAGTCTGTCTTAAATCCAAGTGGTTACAAACTAACCATGCAAATTAAGAAAAGTAGCGACGTTCGAGGCCGTGTGCGAGCAAGCAAACTAGCTCTGCCGTCTCAAGACGAGGTGACCGCTCGCAAGTTGGTGACCTAAGGCCATGCGTTTGAACCTGCAGGTGTCTTGCCTACCCAGACTGCGGGGGGGGTGCCATGCAGGCGACTTATCACTGCATTGTAATTATCGCCTGACCCTGCACTGGCACTAATTGCCCTCGTTGAGCTGCCCACTGTGACCTGTACCCCATGGCCCCATCTGCCATGATGATGCCGTCGTCCCCTCCGTCAGTTACCTCGGCGCCCTCAATGGCGAACACGGAGTAGGCTATGGCACACCGTTCGGTCACCAGCGCCAAGGAGCTCATTCACAACACTGTCTTGACCTGCTTGTTCAGAAGCGTTCTTTGCTAGTTCCTGGTCCCAGCGACGTAGTTGGAGTGCGAAGTATCACACCGGGCCCGGTGCAAACTATGCTTAGAAGCACGCTTGGACGTATAATATCCTTGTCGTCTGCCATGAAAGAAAAGCGTCCTTCCCACTACGAGAGGGAGAGAATAATCAGCAAATTCTTCA